AAATATATATATATATATATACTTAAATATAATTTCATATCTAGAAAATACTTAAATACTACATAAAATTTTTAAAAAATACTTAAAGCAAGTAAATAGTAAGTTTTAATTCTAACTTACCTACTAAATGTGCGTTGGGGTCTGCAAAAGTGTTTTTAAAGAGAAGTAAGTGTGTTCTTCAAATTAATTATATAGATGGCGCTTATGTAGGTAAAGTTGAGTGCCAAGCTGCTATCTTTGTTATATTAAAATTTTTTTTACAAACATTAATATTAAAATATATAAAAAAATAAATCTAGAAAAAATTAAATTAAAAAATAAAAATTAAAAATCCTAAAGGTATGTAATTTAAGTTTTAATTTTAACGATAAATTATTTAGGGAGTTAAGCCAATAAAGAGAGGTAAGTTTGCTTGAAGTAAAATAGAGTTAAGTGGTATTGTGAATTAATAAATGTAAACTGTTTGTAATGTGAAATATGTGTTCTGTTGAAAAATTGTGTAAATATTGCAAGGCAAATAATTAAAGTAATTAAATAAAAAAGAAATGTTTTAGAATTTAAGTTTTACAGCAAAATTTAAAATGTCAAAAAATTTCCCAAAATTTTGTGAAACGAAGTCCTAAAATAACTTTTTAAAAATTCCCAAATTTAATTTGTTTAAATATATATATATATGTTGTATGATCTTAAATCCATTAAGAAAAGAGAACAAACGATAAAAGGCCTATGTGGTCAAAAACTTGCGCATTGAGCTGCAAAATTTAGAAAAAAGTTAAAAGAAAATTCCTAGTTCGTATGATAAAAAGTTGCTTAGATACTGTGGTTCCGTGAAAATATTAACTCGAGTAAAATAAAGTGCAATGAAATGTGTAATAAAGATTAAATAAACAATATAAACATTTGAATATTTACAAATAAAATTCAATACTAATTGTAAGTAATATGCTGATCAAAGTAAGGCATATTTTAAAACATTAGAATTAAAGTGCGACAAATGACTTAAGCAAAAATATAAAAACAAAGAAGCGGTAAATATACATATATTGTTCCCTTATTTACAATATTCTTGCTTCGAATGTTGGCTTAATTTATGTATCCAAATGAACTTATTCTCCAAACTAAACTGCTTAGAAATATGGTAAAATGTTTAACAGTTGGTGATTTTGAATTATTCCTGTTTCTGGTGCCTTTTTAACTGCTCTTGGATTAATTGCGATTTCGAGTTGATTGCGGAGTTCGTCTTCGGGTTTTATAACTACATTTAACTAAAAATTTACTGTAAACTCAATCTACATGTTTACAGCATTATTATAATGAGTAAAAAAAGATTCTAACGTTATACATTATGTACCCGCTCCAAAACACTTTTCTCTAATACTTTCTTAAGATAAAATTTATGCTGTTTCAACCACACATGAATTTGCAAACGTAAAAGTCTAACGTTTAAATGTAAAAAGTTCACAGCTGCATAACGTTTACAATATATGCATATATTATCAATATTTATGTTAATCTAGTTATTATGCCTTCTGTTTTGGAACACTGATATATCGACCTTCCATCTGCCCTCGGGTATTTTCCATCAGCGGATGTGCCTTCACCCTCCCCTCTGGGTCGATATCGACCACTAAAGGGACCACTATTTACACCAATAGCAAGTCTCTGAAATTACAAATCAACCCGATAATTCTTGTGTCTTCATTTCCTAATGGAATCTGCTCCCCCTTTATCCTAAACGGCCTAAGAAGATTTTGGGATGATACACTTAAACACAGGAAAACTTTTCACCAGTGCCTTAAAGTAGATTAAAATTATTCGCCAAATCGTTAGTGTTTCCAAAAACTACGCATTTATATTAAAAATTTGAATTTATTTTCATTGGTTTTAAATTGGCATTTCAACTTCCTATATCTATTTCTTATTAATATAAAGACAAAAATTAGAATAAAAATGTTTAGTAGATTCACGTAGTTTTAGGGAAGGAAAAGTTTCCTAATTATTATGAAAAATGAATATGTCGGGAGATTAGAATTTTTATTAGATTATATCAAAGCCCACTAGGTATATCTGGTCATGCCTTCATGGAGCACTTTTTAAGGGAAACTTACCGATATTAATGGAAAAATCAAGAAAACGCCCACGAAGTCAGATCGTTCTCCAAGACTGAATATCGGATAAAACTGCTAGTAATTCTGGTTTTTCTTTTTCATGCCGCCCACCAGTCACCCTCTTACTAATTTCAATCTTTGTTTCTAATTTTCTAATATTTTAAAGTACAATTAGTTTATAAGATAACAAACTGATAATTGTGCACATTTGTAATGCTATTATGACTAATAGTTATATGCAAGTTAAAGAGCATGCAAATTAAAATTTTAACTTTAATTTATGACACTTCTTTAAATCTCAGTTTTAGTTTGGCTATTTCCCCTTTCTCTGATAAAAAAATGCCAGCTGCTTTTAATAAATCACGGTTACTGGCTAAAATGTCGCGGACGAAAACGTCGCGGAGAAAACAACGCAACGGGCGAAAACATGGTCGTACAAAATATTGTAAGAAAAAAGAAAGGAAGGAAAAAAAACATCGCAGTTCTTAAACATCGTTGTCGAAAATAGAGCTTTTCAGAAACATTGCAGTTTTAAAACATCTTTGTAAAAAAAAAAAAAAAAAAAAAAAAAAAAGAGTAGTAAAAAAAAAATAAAGCACCTACAAATAATCGTATGAAGAATAAAAGAATTTTGAATTTATGCACATAAAAAGGTTAATGACTCTTTTAAGAAGACGAATGAACCGGAACAAAATTATAATGCATATTACACGTTACTATAAGTTACTTACACATGCATATTACAAGTTACTTTAACGGTTATGTAAAACGGATAAGATTTTTAGAACGCGGTTTTAGGGAAAATATACCGTTCTAATATTCGTTTCAATGCCATAAGAAATTTAGCTATTAATTAAATTAATTTAGCAATTTCGATATGAAATAATTACTATACATAAATTTTAAAAATAGTAATAATAATAATTTGGATTGGGAGAGGAGGAAAAGAGCGAACAGGCAAGCAAACCAAAGACTACTATAACAACATATTTCTAAGAAAACTTGAGCCACTACAGCTCTGCCCTCTTTTTAACGAAACATGGTATGCGGCACAGCCCAGTGCCGATATCTTTTTTTAGATGCCTCACCAGCAGCGAGATATGACACGCAGATGGTGGGTAGATAACAAAGCAAGTGCAACAGCTGTAATCGAGTTATTTTATACATAGTGAAGTTATTCCAATCTCTTCCGATAAACCTCTTCCCCCCTTCTCCCTTCTTCTTCTTCAGAAATTCCAGACTAAAACGTAGGAAAAAAAAAGGCATTTAAAAAGAGACAAAAAGTAGGGTATAAAATATTTCGTTGCCAAATTTTTCTTCCGAAAATGGTAAAAATGTGGAGAAATTCTGCATAAGGTGCTTTATAATTTTCTTGCTGCGGACGCTTCTCTCTCTTTCTCTTTCAATTATTATATTATATTATTTTTATTTATCTTTAAAAAATTCGTGAAAATTTGTTGGCAACTTAGTAAACAGATAACTTCGGAATGAAAAATTGAATAAACCTTATTTATGTTTACAAACCTATCTACTGGTACTATAAAAGTTGCGTGATACTTTTTACTTCGAAACTGAGTTAGGAAAAATAAGGAAAAATATTCAAAAGCAGTTCACGGTATTTCGTATTTGCATACCTGAACATTTTTTATTCAGTTTCTTCTCTGTTACAAAACAACAATACACGTCAAATAATTTTCTCTAGAAAAATATATGCACCAACTTGATATTTACAGTGAGAAAACGTACCTTCGTCATCCGCTGACCTCGGCTGCCAAAAAATTTTTCTAAGAAATATATCTCTTTAAGTCAGTTATGTCTACGTTATTTCCAAAAATATAGAATGGAATAGTCACGCTTTAAAAACTTACTTTGAAAACAGGGACATTTTTTACAAAATACAGGAAAAATACATTCAATTTAATGATGAACATTATAAAATGTAAGCGCATGTACCTTTCTATAGAAAATTATTTGGCGCGTTTTGTCCCAAGCGGGAAACATACTTTATTTTTTTAAATGTGTTTGAGGAAAACATTAGACTAACAATAATCAAAGAATACAGAACGCTGTAGAACACTTTTGATGAACATTTCTTCCAATGTCCGTCCCCCAGCGACGGAGCGGATAAAACTCTTGATCACTGGTAGATCGAACGCGATTCAAATCCTAGCAAAAGGGGTGCCTGCTTGGGCGTTTTCGTGATTTTTTCCTAGTAGATCATGAATACGAGCTAATTTTCCTTTGGAACCTTTTCACGAAGGTATGCTATCTTTTAGGCAGATAGCCTAGTGTGCTTTATCGCAAATCTAATAATTCCAATTCAGTTATTTCCAATATATATTAAAATACAAAATGCGTGATTTTTCCCATATATAATGTGAGATTTTCTCGCAAATTCCTCCATAAAGGTATCCGTTTCCTTAATTTGATTTTCATATGCTGATTCTAGTTTAACACTTAAAGCAGTTTTATAAACAGTCACGATTAACTCACTAGTTTCATTATTAATCTCCATGAATTAAAGATATAACATAAAATCATACATTTAAAAAAGTGTAGCTAAAAACAGCAGAACAAAATAGTAAAAAGGTGATTCGGTTACGTTGTGTGAATATAGCAATGCAAACCAGAGCTATCTGATCAAGGGCTTTTCTCAAGGCAACTGGCTTGCATTCGAGTTGCGCATATCATGAAGGCGATTCATGCAACCAGTCCGTTCGTCTGTATCGAAGTACCAGCATTCAGCGGTCTTAAAAATTTGACCACCGATGAAGCAAAAGTAAGAATAAAAAGACTTGATATGACAATATATCACCATAAAATTATCGCCATGTGGATACTTGACGCAATAATAGAAAGATTTATTTATTCAAGATATAGTCATGCACTTACTTCAGTACAGCGTCTGCGCACGAGGCTTGCAACAAATACTTCCTTCAAACAGCTATATTTTCCATTTTGTCAATGCATGAAATCTGAGAACTGAAAGCAATAAACAGATCGATAAAATTTCTTTCAAGCAAAAACGAAAAAGGGAGTAACGATCTATCTTTCTTACCTTTTTGCTTAGAAACGTTATGTCCCTTCAAACGCCAAACGTTTTACACTTTAAAGGTTCATGAAAAACGAAAGAAATCATCAACAACAATATTCTGCAACGACTGCATTTTGTTCCACATTTTCGTTGTAATTTAATAATGGCACTTTACCCGAATACTTGCACATATACATAATAAATGCATTTAATATCTTCGGTTAGCGAATAAACACTTTTTTTTTTAATTTCCAAGTCAGTCACCTTAATTGAGTAAGAGAGGAGCTCTCCCGCCAAATTAAATTAATTGCAAAACTAAAAAAAAAAATTTTTGTTTCACCATCTGCAAAGCATCGATCTTTTTCAAAGAAATCAACGCTTCGCGAGTTAAAAATACTGTCATTAAATAATTTTGTAAATTATGTAATAAAATCATGCATAATTGGTACGGGATGTCACGATTCCTAATTAAAGCAAAGTTATTTTTATATTTTATGTTTCTAGTGCCTCAAACAACCATTTTATTTATTTTTTATTACGGGGCTAATACTAGTAATAAATCTCGACACACAATTCGGCGTGGTCCACTGTAAATGTGTTGTTCCACTTTTCGTTCTAGTCTGTTGCCACTCGGAAAAACGTAAAATATTATTTTTTCATATTTAATCTGTCTCTTATTAATTAACAAACTAAACTATTTAAAAACAACAGATGCAGTTCCTAAGAATATTATTTCTTTTCAATCTGACTGATTTAAATAAAAAGGAAAGAAAACAATCTAAAATGTTTTCTGTGTTACCTTTTTTTTTATTAAATATCATGTTCTCCGCATCTAAACCATAAAATGCAATTCAACAGCAATATCACAAAATATTTTAAAAAGCATATCTTTAGAATTTCTGATACAAAGTGTCGCTCGCTGGAGATAATTTTTTCTTCGTGCGGTGTTGCCATTGTCCGTTTTGAAATCGTTGCTTTTCTTAACCCAAAACTCATAAATGCTTTACAAAATATGAAATAGATAATAAAACAAATTCTAAATTCCAAATTTGGGTTTCCAGATGCCCATATTCGAATGGAGAACTACGTTATTCAAAATTTGATGTCTCTAGGTAGCGTTGACATACAGATATTCACGCAATTTTTTTATTATTTAATTTCTTTAAATATAATACAGGGCTCTACCATTTGGTGGCAACAATTTGAAAAGTGAACCGACATTTATAGTGAATCAACGCAAAATGCCAAAACGAAATTAATAGCCCTTCTGGGCTAACGCCCTTTGGGCTAAAAAAATGCATTTAATTCATGATATGTATAATTTAAAACATTAACTATTTTTGTAGAATTATATTAAATATATTTTCATTTTTTAAATACATAGAATATAGATAACTTTCCCACCATGTTAGTCTAAAAGCGTATTATATCTTATAAAATGTTTCGCTATTCTCCCTGAACCACCTCTATCGATAATCTGTGTTGATAAACCATATTAAATTTTAAAACAACCCTTTTGATCGATGATTAAAATCTGAAACCTTTCAGACTATTTTTTTTTTCTTTTATTATTACATGTATATTCTATTTTTCAATTTTACGTTTGTAAATACACTCTTTTGAAAAAAAAAAAAAAAAAAAATCGAAGCACCAAAAAGGACTTGCGATAATGACGAAATTCGGTATGCAAAAATGCACATTTTGCAAACTATAAAACCAATAACAGAGACGGAAAATTTATCTATTTTTGTTGCTGGCATTGTAATTCCGTAAAGAAGTAACTAAAGATGCCATTACGACGATATCGAAGACCTAACAGACAACTAAACGACTTCGAACATGGTCGCATTGTAGGGTTGCGTGAAGTTGGGTGGTCATACCGAGCAATAGGCAGCCACCTGCAGCGTAGAGACACTGCTGTGCAAAAATGTTGGCAGCAATGATTGCTACAAGGAAATTGCCGACGAAATGAAGGCTCTTTACGCCCAAAGAGCACAAATACGAGGCAAGATAGGATGTTTGTTTGCCAGGCCCGAACCGCCCCAACGGTATCATTGTCGATTATTCAACGCACTACAGCCACGTCTATACTTCCTGTGGTTACGTCCACCATCTCACGGCACTTGTCTGAGACGGGTTTACGCTCACAGAGGCCTTTAAGACGTTTGCCTTTGACCCCATAACATCGGCGGAATCGTATGGAGTGGTGTCGCAGCCGATCATCAGGGCTGCCATCAGACTGGCATCGTATAGAGTTCAGAGATGAATCCCTCTTCACTCTTGAAGCAGATGACCACCGTGTTCGTGTCTGGAGAGGAAAAGGCCAGCGGTCCCAATCAGCCTTTGTTTTACAAAGGCATACAGCCATAACCCCTGGTGTGATGGTGTGGGGCGCTATTTCTTATGTCAGCAGGTCATCTTTAGTCATCCTCCGTACATCCTTAACAGCTCACCGATATGTTGATACCATCCTGCAGCCGGTTGCAATACCCTTCATGGCACGTCAACCTGGGGCCATTTTCCAACAAGATAATGCCAGGCCACATACCGCTCGCATATCTCTGGACTGTCTCCGTGCGGTTTGATACTCTTGTGATTTTGCTGGCCAAGGGAGCTCTTGCGTTGTCTGAAACATGGTAGGCCGCCAGATTCGGGCACCTCAAAATATCGCAGATCTGGAGCAGCAACTGATGAACGCCTGGCAGAATGTGTTGCAGGATGACATTAGGAACCTCTACCACTCTTTGCCTCGAGGAATTCAAGCATGTATTTCCGCCAGTGCCGGTTCGACCAACTACTAATTTGAACAATGGTGATTGTGAGCTGTGAACAGGTACTATGACCTTGATTTTTTAATCATTTTATTATCTGTGTATGAGCTCTACACATATTCAATTTCATCAAAAAGAACCACTTCCTTCATGGTGCTTCGATTTTTTTGCAAAAGAGTGTATTTTATTTGGGTGGCGGACGTTTCAAGCATAAATTCCTATCTTGTTATATGTGAAAGAGAATTTGTATACACAAAATAAAAGCTTCCAAAACATCACATTTCGCCAATCCCAAATTATTCGATTTCGCGATGGTTAGAATTACTTTCTTAATGCAAAATTATTACAGCCTTGGCCTACTTTGAAAACCTACTTTTAAATTTATTCTTCTTTAAATATGTGGCACATAATATTTCTATTCCTTAATTCAAAAACACGTTGTGAAATGTATGACATTAAAATTTGTAAGTGCAAAACTACCAACATAATTAATGGCAAAGGAAGAACCATCATCATTACTTCTACGTGGAAAGACGATTCCAAACGAATAGTCGAAAACGGTGCGTACTGTTTCTAATGTTTCTAAAGTTAAATCGCTGGTAACAAGAGAAAATCCGCCAACGTAGAAATCAATCGAAAAGTCTTCAAATACTTTTGTAGAACTATAAATAAAAGAATAAAATCATCATAATTTAGACATTAGAAAAGGTAAAAAATATAATGTTCACCAGATATTGCCGAAGCATATGGCTCAACGCAGAATAATTTGTAGAACTATCGAGCAGCAGATAAATGGAAATACCTTCTAACCCGTGATGAAGCACGGCTTTACCAAAATGACTGCAGCCGAAAAAAGATTTATTTGTTATCGAAATCGAAGAGAAAAAAAAAATATAAACCTATTTCTGTCAATGCAAAGAACGTTTCAATAAGGGGTCTATGGATGTCACAGAATTCTCTTACAATGGAAAATTAAAATAAGAGGGGAAAATATTAAAATTCGACTCAGCGTACTAGCAACATAAAGTTTTAGGTCGAATATTCACAAGAAGAATTTCATTTATTTATCCAAATAACTTTCAAAGAATGAAACGTCATTAAGACAAAGCAATAAAGTCATACTTCGAAAAGTACCATTGCGAAAATAATGGAGAATGATACAGATATTGCATTCCTGTAAAGACTACTGACGTTTCACCGGAGGACTATCACGCTTTTGGCTTCTAGAAAAGAGCTCTTTCTAAGCGCAAACCCACAATGCCTAATGGGCTTGGGAAGTAGTGGAAGATAAATTAAAATCAATGCCCTTGAAAATTTTATGAAAAAATTTCCAATCATCGAAATCACAATGCAGATTCATGGCCGAGAGAAAAAGCTATCAGATTGAACATTTGAAAAAATACACTGTACATATTAAATGTTAATTAAATGGCACTGAAATCCTTCTAAAATATGTAAGCATTCTCTGTATAAGAATCGATAAGCTAAATCTGAAAGTGAATCTGAAAGTATCAACATCAGAATAAAAGAGGAACTAAATATGTTCTATTAAATGCTGTTATATTACTTAAACCCACTCCCAACACACAATAACATTTATAACTGATAAATTAATAATCACTGCGAATACGAAAACACTGCCGATTAAAATAGTAAGTTACCCCACACGCGCTTCCTGAAGCCGCACTTTCCTCAAACATACACATACATATTTATGAATGATCGTGTTATCTGACATGTCTAGAGATAGATTGATGAACGTAGCATCCATAATATCGTTAAACTGGATACCATTATGCATTATGGAAATTCGAGGAACAAATTAACACTTCAAGAAGTTACGTTTGACTTGGCAAAGCCTCTGTAACTTTGTTAAGACACGACTAACGCCGTTTGAAGAGCTTCGAAGGAGTCTAAAGACTTGTTTCCTAATTCGATAACCCCGCTGCTAATGATTTCTGTGACACGGTTCACTAAGATTCATGCTAAACATGCAAAGATATGATTAGTGTAATATACCATGTCATTATCTTTCACAACAGACGTGTGTGGTACGATAAAATGGAACTCTAGTGATTTTTAAAAACATTTACGAGTAACCATTTTTATGTTTCTATATATTTAGCACACACCTTCTCCTATCAACCAACAAAAGCTTATTAAATATATATATAGGT